GCTATAAAATGTCAATCCTATGATCTTATACTTATAAAACAAACGTTTCTGTATATGTATATAAGTCATCGATCGATAACAAATGATTCGTCAATCTTTCGGACGAAGAACTCAAGCAAAACAGCAGGTTACGAAATCAAAATGACACATTAAAATAAATCATGATTGATCGAAAAGTGACTTTTAACAATTATTTTGGAGCATTTTGATGTCATCATGATTTTCGGTTCTACTTCGGAAATCCCTTCTAATGTGTATAATTTCCTGCAGAGTTGGGAAAGTTATCTATGTGTATACTTTACAAGTTATTTATAAAGATTTTTTATTAGACTTTTTATTATGAAAATTGAGTACAATAAGTTTAGGCATTGTATTTTTTATATTATATTTTGCTTTTCGCTTCAATTTTATATTATTTTTTGTACTCAATTTCTGTAACAAATAATTTCTGCCTTTCATCCTATCACCCTTAAGTTTTGAAATAAGATTTGTTAATTTTTATTTGACATCTTTTTAAGCTTGCCCTCTTTCTTTCTTGTAATATTATTTCGCGAAAAAAGGTTTTGTATCTATGTATAATATATTCGTTGAAAAATTACTTTGTCAGAGCATAAAATATACAATAAAAATATATGAACACTATTTATGAACGCTACTTATAATTATGTTATTAATATTTTTTTATGCAGAAATATGGAATATATTTATATAGCTTTTTAAAATATAACACACATTTAATTAAAATTAAAATTTATATTTGTCTATTAAATATAACATTAACAGAATTTTTTTACTATCAATATTAGCTTTTGTCGGAATAAAAAAGTCACTATGTCAGGATTGTCAGGTCAAGGTCTACAATTTAGTACAGATTTAAATCATTATACTATAATGTACAATAGAATACACGTAAATCGGTCTGTTATCCTCGCAGATAAAAGCTTAATGTCGCATGCACGATTTACGTTACATAATCGGTCGATAACACTAAAACGTGCTAAAATTGTTCTTTGTCCTCAAACCGTTTTTATAGCTACATTATTTATTGTTAAATAAAAATACAATTTCAGACTGTCGAAATTCTCTATATAACTCATTTTACTCTATTCACAGAAATTATATAACAATTTCTATCTTGTGTCATATTAAGGCCTTTGTATAACTGTATTTTTCTTGTATAACTCTATTTCATTTTTCTAATACTGTATTTTCAGTAAACAGTCAGTTCGGCAAACGTCGAAGTTCACATTTAATACTTCAAATAGCTTTGAGAGTTGTTACAGCAACTTTTCATAATACATGCAAATTTGAGAATATTATAATTTTCATATTTTTAAAAAGAGAATTTAATGTCCAAATTATTATTATTAGTTCTTCAATTCAAAAAGCTTCTTACGAAGAGAAATTCTTGTTGCAAAAGGTTTGTAGATCAGTTGAATTTTAATCATAAATTATTTTTCTTCCTCTTCTTCTCTCAAATCCCTTCCCTCTCTTATAAGAACGCAAGTTCTCTTGCTACCTGCGTGGGGATATAAATAAGCTCCATGTTCAACAACTGTTTTGCGAAAGTAGACGATGAACAACATTCAAACAGTGATGATCAATGCACGAGATTCCGAAAAATTATTGAAAACGTCACGTGTGTAAAAGTGTTTGAATTCCTGAATTAAAACTGCAACATGAAGCTTCAAAATTTTCGTCTGTGGCTCTGTCAATCATTATCACGTGAGTTAAAAATTAATTTTTCTGTTTATCTTCCTGAAGAATTTATTTCACATTGCAAAGTTTTAGAATTAAAAGATTTAGCATTAATTTCAATTACAAATTTAAAACTGAAACAAACACTAAATTCGAATTATACTTTAACAATCATTTAAATCTCATGCATCTTTGCTGTCGTATAAATTGGACTTAAAAATATTATAATGTAGTTTTGTATAAAAATCGCGAAATTGACATTCTAGTTTCCTTCTTATACTCGTTTGCATTCATTTTGTTACAAAAAAATGCATAATTTATATAAATTATAATAAAATTATTGAAATTAATAATAAAATTAATTTTACAAATTATAATTTCATTTTTAAAAATTATAATTATATTTATAATTTATGATTTATTCTTTTTCGAACATATGCAATTTTCTTCACATAAGCGTAAATTTTTATTAAATTATTAACAATATAAAAAAACTAGGATTAATAATGACTAAAGAATAAAACAAGAATTGTGTTTCTCTTCAAATATGTTTTTAATGCTTCAAACATACTTTAAACAGTGTATTATAAAAAAACATGTTTAAAACAATTTTTAAAACAGTCTTTTACCAATTTTATAAAAAACACACTATCAAATTTCGTCAAAAGACAAAAATATTCGTAGGTATAACAATAATAGTAATCTTTATTTTAATGTACAAAAATAAGAGACTGAAGAAATGAAACGTGAAGAAATAATTATACAAGTAAACGCGATGAAGTGCCAACAAGGCTGCTGTTGCAATGCCTAATGATAATAAAAAGACAATAGTTAAAACTGACGTGCATACTAACGATTTTCGAAATCAAACGAAGTCTGTAGAATGACTTTCATTCTCCTTCTTTTTAAATAGTAGGTAATATTTACAAATATGTAAGTGCCTTCAAAATTTTGTATTAATTTCATAAATCGTGAACCAGATGTGCAAATAAAATATGATATTTAAAATACGTTGAGCAAATATTTTCGCGATAGCTTGAGACAACCGCGTGATTAAAAATCTCCTAAAATTTTTTCTTCACGTGCACGAAAATATACGAATGATACGATAGCACACAGATTCAATAAACTGAATACATTAATAAATGCAAACTAAGATTTGCGATGACATGAAATTTAAGAAATTTATAAATTTTATTCATATATACAACAATATTTGAATAAAAATAAGAAAAACTTAGAACTACTTTTGAAAATATAAATAAATATAAAAATGTCATGTTATAGAGAATCTTTTTCTAACAATAATTTAATTATTTAAACTGTTTTTTAGTACATTTTTTTTAGTACATTTTTAAAAATATCGTTGTATCTGGCTAATACTACTGCGAATCCAACTGTGAGTAGTATTTCTGCGACTGGTACTGACTGATATTTTGAAACAAACGTTATTTCAGCGTAAAACTTCGTCAAACCTCGTTTTTAGTTATTCATTGTTATATTTATTTTATTAAAAAAAATATGTATAATTGTTACATATCTTTTGAATATAACGATATAAATTGTTATTTAAAATTGACTAACAATGAATTAAGAAAATTTAGAAAATTATTTAAACTTTTTATGTGCACTATTTAATGTGCATGTTTTCTATTATGAGCGTGTTTTTAATTATTTCGGAGCAATGTCTGACATTTACGATAGAGAAACTAATTTGTCCACACGAATCTAGTTGGCATGGTAATGCAACACAATTCTGTCAATCTGCATATTTTTTCACTTTTCTTAAACATTCCTAAATGCGAGCATTACGCGAAAAAGTATTCCAGATTCGTACTCCGGAAATTTTCTGGAGATTTTTACGTAAGTACGGATCGTTCAACGGAAGTAATCACAATGAAACGTTAGGATAAATATAAGTGATTGTAATTAGACTAAAGTAGGTTATTCTTTATTTTTTGCTCTTTTTTCAAGGTAAACATTCTAGCAGAAATATATATTTTAATATAGTTCTAATCTGAAGTATATTAAAGTAAAAAAGAAAGATATCACAATACACATTAAAAAAAAGTATTTTTATTTTTATAACATTTATTTGTATCTGTAAATGGTTTTTTTAGCGTCGTATTTCATAATTGTAATTTTTTATGTATGTATGCCGCAAAATAATACCTGGAATAATATTAATAGTATCTTTAGAAGCATATTTGCTTTCGATTTATCTATTAACTTTTTTCTTTTTATTCGGAATTGATAGTCTTCTTACTAGTTACGTTATTCATTGGGCTGCCTCCCATTTTGTATTCACATTGAATTATTTAAGCATTAAAGATCTAGCTTTGACTGTTATAGACTTTAATATACTTATTTGTGTATTCACATTATGATCTTAATATAAAAATCATTTATTATTGATTATTAAAATTTTTTCTGAATTTTTATGTCTAATCAAGTCTAATGGATTCCTTACAATAATAATGCACCAAATATTATGTATATATTGCTTATTAATAATTTCATATATGTAATTTTAATTTGAGGTGAAACTACTAATTATATATATAAACAGTTTTTTGACCATTCAACAAATATATTATTCATAGAAGTAAAAACCATCTTTTCCTTTAAAGAAAAGATGATTGAAACAAAGATATTTTTTACATCATGCATACCTTACGAAATATGGTTTTTTAGTATAAAAGTACAAATTTTTCTCTTAAGATTATAATAAGAATGACGAAAAAAGATAAAAATTGGTAGGGTTTACTCAATTTATGGCTTATATGAGTCTAGGATTTATTGATTTTTCAATTTTTACTGGAAAATAATGATTCACCATAACTTTGAATAATTCATTCAGCATATTCCTTTCTATTCTACATTCTAAATACTAAATAAGAAACACATGAGCCAAATTGGACGCGTCCCAATGAATAGTATTACTATCAGAAAAAAATGTGCTTTGAATGAAAGCAAAAGTTTTTAGTTTTAAATAATTTAATTTTTCATATCAAAAGCTCTTGAAAATAGATTCTCTATTAAAAAATAAAAATTTTATATATTTACAAAGAGTAATTAGCCATTAAGATTCATAATTAATTCAAGATACTGATAATAATTACATTAAAATATTCACGTTTTCGATATTTGTTCTCATTCAAAATCAATGTAGAATCATTAAAAAAAAAGTTCTAATTAAGAAGAATCTTAAATTATTCCCTATAAAATATTTCAATTATATTTGATCGTTGATCGATTTTGCCGTGCAAGAAGACTATCACTAAAGATTCCTTATTTTGCAGGATGGCTTCCAATACGCATTTGGATCTGCGTAATGATGTTCACCGCTTGTTGGACGAGCTACGCGTGTCGGTTGCAGATGCCAATTCTGGTGGTACCGATGATCGTGGAGGCGAAAGTCAATTACACGAATGAGGGTGTATGCGTGTTTGAGGACTCTCGACGACGTCGTGACGTTATCATTAATCCACTTGATCCTTCCAGCTACTTGGAACAATACGTTCTAGATCTTATGCAGGAAGAACGGGATAGGAATCTATTACATTCATTAGAACGTCGCCAAACAGAACCAATAATACGGCCACCAGATGCGCCCTTCGCATTTTTTAGCGGCCTACCATTCGACTGGACTCCAACAATACGAGGCCAACTTTTGGCCAGCTACAGCTACGGCGTCGTGCCTGGTAACTTGATCGGTGGCTGGTTTGCGTTGAGATACGGACCGCGCCGCGCAATTCTCTGGACGTCGATCTTGGCCGCAATAATCTCGCTAATTAGCCCATTCCTAGCGCAATGTCACTGGGGTGTGCTATTGTTCTCCAGGGTCGTCATCGGTATCACTGGAGGTGTCACTTTCCCCGCGTGTCATACTATGGTGGCAAAGTGGTCACATCCAAATGAACGGGCGCGCATGATCTGGTCTTTGTTAGGTGGAACGTTTGGCACGATATTGACCTATCCAATGATAGCTGGTATCGCGGAAAGTATGAATTGGGAATCCGGCTGGTATATACCATCCCTGCTGATGCTAGTGTGGACAATAGTGTGGGCATTGATCGCTTATGATTCGCCAGTAGAACACCCGGGCATCAGTGCCGAAGAGAGGGAGTACATTATAACGTAAGTATATTTTATAGTCAAACGAAATCGATTAATGTGTCATTTCTATCAAGGTAAATTAAACTCGGTTTAATTTACTCACTAAGTTACTAAGTATAAGCATATTCAAGCTTATAATGGTCAAAGCTGGATATTGTCAATGCCTAAATAATTCACAATAAATTATCTATATCCTATACATGTACAAGTATATACCATATTTTTGTAGTTATTCAAACTGCGCGCCGACATTTTTCCGGACTTATCAAACGCAATTAAACTACTGCAATATTATCACAAGTTAAATATTCAAGCTGTTATTAGATTTGAATATGCTTATACTTAGTATTTAATTTCATGTCGGTCTTAATAAAATTATTGTTATATACACTGCCTGCAAGAAGCGTGATTGTTCTTACATATACTGATTATTGTGAAAAATATTATTAAGGCCGCATTTTCGACCGTAGTGGGTTCGAACTAATCTAGATTGGATTAATGATACATGCTCTACTATTGGTTGATGTTAAATGCTCTACTGATAGTAAAGTATGCAACTACATCATTAATCCAATCCGGATCGATTCAAACCTGCGCTACGATTGAAAACGCTATCGATTTAATTATCTCTTTTCTAATTCTTAAAACTAGACAAAGATAAAAAGTAAATTAAATCAAGATCTAATCTATTGATAGAACGTGATTCTTCTTTGCAACGAAATCGGTTCAATGATTAATGTGATTCTTATAGCGGTCAAGCAGGAACGGTGCGCCCCGAGAAACCTCGATGGAAACAGACTCCGCTAAAGCAGATGTTAATGTCGATACCATTTCTCAGTCTGGTCATATGCCATTTCGGAAATCTCTTCTTGCTATTCTTCTACCAAAACTCGCTCATGCTATATTTGACCAAGGCGCTGGGATTTCAATTGACGAAAGGTGGCGCGGCGGCCGGCGCGCCATGGGGTGCCAGAATGGTATTCGGATTCTTCTTTAGTTGGGCGGGTGACACCATTAAAAGAAAGAAGATTATTAGCGTCACCCTTTTGCGTAAACTCGGGACTACATTCTGTAAGCATATTACACATTGATATTAAATCTGCCAATATCCGTAATTGTATTAACATTTCGAAAATCTCGGATGACAAATAACGTCAGTTTAAGTAGTAGTAATATTATTACTACTATTATTACTACTATTACTCAGGTGTACAAATAAGTTTTAAAGCGTTTTTTGTGTAACATATAATTTAAACTTAGAATTCAAATATTTTTGCGTTCTTTTGATATGTAGTGGCGCTTAATGTGTACTATTAAAAAACATAATTGACTTCACAAAATTGGAAACTTAAAATTAAATGGTTTTAAAATGGCGAGCGACAAGCAATTTATTCGACACTGCATTCGATACGAATTTCATCAAGGAAAAAGCGCTGCTAAAGCATGTGAATCAATTTGTTCTGTTCTTGGAGTCAATGTTGATATCCAAAAGTACATGTGAGTTTTGGTTTAGGCGATTTAAAGAGGATGATTTTGTTAGCGATAGAGAACGTAATGGTGCTCCTCAGAAAATTACAAACAATGAATTGCAAGCATTACTCGATCAAAACTCATGTCAAACACAAAACAAACTTGCACAGCAACTTGGAGTAACTCGACAAGATATTTCAATTCGTTTACGGCAGATGGGAAAGATTCTGAAGGAAGGAAAGTGGGTGCCGCATGCATTAAGTGAAAAAAACAAAAATGATCGTCTTGAGAAGTGTTTGAATCTGTACAATAAACAGCATAGAAAATCTTTCTTGTGAAAAATCGTGACTGGTGATGAAAAGTGGATTTTTTACGATAATCCTAAAAAGAGAAAACATTATGTGGATCCAGGACAACCCACTACATCAACGCCAAAACGCAACATCCACAGTTATGCTATGCATCTGGTGGAACATGAAGGGTGTGCTATATTATGAACTGCTCCATCCAAATGAAACGGTTAACAGTGATCGCTATAGTCAACAATTGATCCGTTTAAATCAAGAAATCGAACGAAATCGTCCATTTACTGGCAAAGGAAAACGTCCTGCGAAATTGCTTCATGACAACGCTAGGCCTCATTTTTAAACCTGTAAAGAAAACGTTGCTAGCTCTTGGTTGGGAAGTTCTGTCGCACCCGGCGTATAGCCCAGACATAGCCCCTTCTGATTATCATATTCCGGTCAATGCAAAACGCCTTGTCCGGTACACTTTCGAGCATTTGAAGAAGTGCGAAAATGGGTGGATAATTTTATCGCATCGAAAGACGAAACCTTCTTCGCTTCTGAAATTCGCAAGCTGCCCGAAAGATGGCTAAAGGTCATAGATAATGATGGAGATTATTTTAATAATTAAGTGTGTTTTCGTTTCTAAATAAATAAATATTAAATTTCATTAAAAACGTTTTAAAACTTATTTGTACACCTAATAGCAGTAATATTATTACTACTATTAATATTACTACTAGTAGTAATAATATTATTAATAGATATATATTTATAAAGAAAACAAACTCTTTAGTACTGCGTTAGTAACATCCCGGGAAAAAATGTTTCATATATAATTATATATAATTATATAAACTTATATAAAATTATGTTATATATTAGGGTGTCTATGAAGTCCCGCATCTCATATATCTCGGATTTTAGATATAGAAAAATGTTTTAAACAAAAGTTGTAGGACATTAAAAGGGACATATGATAGGAAATATAGACTTGACCTTGAATGGTCTTTTCAAGACTAGATCAGTGTGATCATTGTTTTCTTAAATGGAATCCTTCATTTTTTATTCCGTATTCTTGGAGCTTACCTCGAGAGTTTTTCAAAACACTATAATAAAAACATTTAAGAATTTTAAGCACGACCGTATATGTGAATACATCAAATATCGGTCAAAGTTAGATGTTTCAAATAATACATTATATATTCTTTTATTAAATCAATTTATTCCAGATATGATTGCGAGGCGATAACTTTCGATTTCAACACAATCATTCTGGAACGCTAATAATTCCTCCTAAATTAGATTAATAAGATTAGATAAGATATTAATCTAATTTAAGGGGGATTATATTAACGTTGATTTAATAAAAGAATATATTATGTATTATTTGAAATATTAAACTATAATAAAATATTTTTTCTTTAAGTATTTTTCACGTTACGAGGATTGACAGTTACAGTACCATTAATGCTGTCTGTACTGTAACTTTCAAGCCTTATAACTCGAAAAATATTTAACGAAAAAATATTTTATTATAGTATTTTAAAAAGCTCTCGAGATAAGCTACAAGAATATGTAATAAAAAATGAGAGGTTCCATTTAAGAAAACAACGATCACTTTGACTTAACTTTCAGAAGATCACTCAAGGTCAAATCCACATTTTCATCATATGTCCCCCTTAATGTCCTACAATTTTTGTCTGAGACATTTTTCCATATTTAAAATTGTTTAGCCAAGATATATGGCTTGGGTGGCACTTAATATAGACATAATTATATAAAACATTAACACATTTTATATAATTATATGTGT